TTTCCATGGTCTAACTAGCTTTTCACTCACCATTGCAAATGCTCTTGATGAATAAGGGAAATTGGGGAAGAAAATACCACAAATGCAACAATTAGATAATCACTGAGCTGTGGTTTGCATAAATTAATTTAGCCTGATCACACTGATGTTCAGATCTTTCAGATACTGAAAATGCTTTGAGCTTCATATCAGCTTACTTGTTAGTTTAATTTTGCATTCTGCCCAAATGCTGTCTATAGTTTCTATTCTTATATTATTACCTAGCAGTATTTATTTAATATTTATGCCAACTAGATATAATAATGGGCTTTTTGCTTAATGTTTTATACCAAAACAATATAAATACAGTCAAATTATGCATTAAGTTTTGTTTTCTGAAACTTCACTGTGAATTCAGTACAAATGTCTCTGATATAAATAAAATTAAACTGTATTGTTTGTTTATAGTCCAGACAACTTAGCAGACTGTCTTAGAAATTCATTTAACTCATTAGATTTAAATCAACAATCAAGGTTTCTCTGGCTAGGAGGATTAATGTATTGGCATGATTGGGACAGCCAAGAGTAAACATTTTTTCAATGCTGAAGGTTTTTTTCCCCCTTCTTCTTAATAAAGTTTGATGGTGGATTAAAGAAAATAACTTCATCCTGATATCTGTGAATATGGAATATGCAATAATTATAGTAAACTTGAAATATAACTCTGCTTAAAACACAAGCATCACTCAATATAATACCTTTTAATATTTTATTGGGAACAAAACTATAATTGCCTATGCATTGCTCTGAATGCTATTACTTTAAATGGCATGTATGTTAAGAATTTAAATATGAATATGAATGAAGTAAATATAAATAAGAAAGATGAAGGTACATGTAAAATAATTTTCACCAGCATATTTTAATAAGGCAAATAAATTAATGTTATAAAAGATATTCATTTTCACCAATAAAGTAAACTTTATTACATTTTAACCCACTCACAGAGCTTTCAGAATCTATTTTTCAGGCGAACCCAAATAAATTCTTTTAAAAGATGGGAAACAATTAAGTTTATTTGACAAGATTGCAATAAAAACTTATGATCAGAGTGCATATCAGTTATGCGTCCTTTTATTGGATTTATTTTTCTTTAGAAAAATGCAGTGACCACTTTGTTGACTGAAGGCTAGTAGGGTTGGACTCTCTGAATCTTAATTAACACATTCAGTCTCAGTGGAGAACTCAGTGATACCTTAAAATCTTGCAACTGGACTGTAATTCAGCTAAGTTGATGTGTTATAAGCACTGGCAGGAGAAATAAAGAGAGTTATCAATAGTCATTTTGATTTTTATCTACTGAAGTGAAAGAAGTCAACAATTTTATTTTCAATCTGGAACTGAATTCCGAGGTTTAAATGGATCTAAATATAACAACATACTGCAAGGAGGCGAAATTGATGAGTGGCTAACATCTGGCAGAACCTACCTGATAATGAAAGATCCAACAAAAGAGACAGCACCAGGAAACTATAGCCAATTACCTGCTTCCCAACAACCTTATTAACTGGTGTGGTAACTGATGTAGTCCAACACCATCTAGTAAACAATAAGCCTTTTCCACCTAGGCAGAAAGGAAACCACCCAAACAGCAGAGGAACAAAAGATCAACTTCTAATTGACAAGATGATTCTGGAAAACTGCAAGAGAAGGAAGACCAACCTGAACGTAGCATGCATTGATTACAGAAGGCATTGGACTCCCTGCTGCATGATTGGATAATCAAGTGCCTAGAAATAACAGGAGTCAGTAGAAACATCAGAAGCACTGCAAAAATCAATGGCACAATAGAAGACATGGTTGCTGGTCAATGGTAATAGAACGGAAGAGATTAACATCAAGAGAGGAGTCTTCCAAGGAGACTCACTTTCCCCACTATTGTTTGTCATTGCATTGATTCCTCTGAATAATCAGGCCATACCTACCAAACATGAAAAACATCTGCTAGGCTATCCCACTGGAAGAGCAGCTCCCTGGTGTGCATGCCTGTGCTGGCACCCACATGCCAGAAACCATAAGTTCAACTGCTCTTCTGGTTTCCAGTGATCCCGTGCGCACGTGCCAGGGAGCTGCTCTTCCGGCTTCCAGCCCTTCCCTGCCCACATGCGCATGCTCCCGTTTCAGCACTCAGTGTTGAAAAGGTTCACCAACACTGTCCTAGGGGGTTTTGAAGAAAGGGACTGGCTAGAATCTCTATGCTCTATACCTTAACACCACAATGGGTCCTTTGCTAGGTTACTCTCATCTTTGTTTATCCTGGTACTCGCTATCTTAATCTATTCTATAGCCAAGAAAAGATTGCTATTACCTTCATTCTTAGCCTTCAATTGTAAATTATTTTCTAAATCTTAAAACATTAATCTAGATTTTTCATTTTTTTTTCTTTTGATTATATTGAATTATTTAAAATCAATTTTTTATTTCCAGATATAAAGTGATTTTATGGTAAGATCTTAAATTGTTAGTGTTTGACTTTCAAGTTTAATTCTGCCTGTCATTTCTTCTGCTATTCATATGATATATTTGCTATATAAAGTGGCAACACTATATACATTCTTGTTTTATATCTTTTTCAACTAAAACTAGTTAACAAAAAAAAACCTTCTTTTTTATATTGTCTATTCTTTCCATTCTGCATTTTAGGTTTAACTCACTGACTACATGTTCATCTGCCTTTTTGAAAAACTTCATTTATTTCTCTTTATACATAATCAGTTTTTAGAACTGATTATAAATGTTTTTCAGAAGTTAACATCCTGAAATTGTTTGGGCAATGTTCTTTCATACTTTCACAAAAGCTGTCCTTAAAACTGGAATTGTTGCATTTTTCAGTTCATAGAATAATGAGCGTTTGAAGGAAAAATGAGGACCGCATGATGGTGATCTGCTAAATCTAGCCCTTCTTTGAGCTTATTTGCTTCATTCTTCTCACTTCTATGTTTCTGGTTTACTAAAATGTTTTTCCTAGTTTTCAGCTGTACAGCAACAGTGGCTTGGCACTATGACTTTTTATGTCTGGTTATACACTAGATTTTGAATCAATCAGTTTATAGCTGAAAACTGCTTGGATTATGCTATAATTACAGGTAGTCTTCTACTTACAACATTTCATTTAGTGACTATTCAAAGTTACAATAGCATTAAAAAAGTTACTTATGACAGTTTTCAGAGTTACAGGTAGTAACAGGCAGCATCCCATAATCATTTGATTAAAATTCAGGTGCTTGGTAACTGGCTAATATTTATGATGCAATGTCCCAGGGTCACCTTTGATCACTTTTTGTGACTTCCTGACAAGCAAAGTCAATGGGTAAGCTAGGTTCACTTAACAATCATGTTACTAACTTAATAACTGTGGTGATTCATTTAACAACTACGACAAGAAAGATCATTATATGAGGCAAAATTCACGTAACTACCATCTTACTTAGCAACATAAATTTTGGGCTCAATTATGGTCATAAACTGAGGATTACCTGTAGTAATCTTTGTAGAAAAGGGAAAGAGTATAAAATTAGTTTCTGAAGGACTGACTAATGACATAAATGGTTCTTAAATTATCTCCAGAAATAATGCCAGCACATACACTTGTGACAGACCCTACAACCTGTGGGACTACAACTAAACAGTCATATAGTCTTTATTTGAAAAATTAGAAATACTGAATGTAAAATTAGTTTGCGTATTTTTCTCAAAACTACATTGTGTGACTATTCATGATTTATGTCCCACAAACCATTGACCAAATACAATGTTAGTCTGACATCTGAATTTTCTTTTGTTTTCTTGATAATTTATTGCTCACTATATTAAGTCCTTTGATTTCTTTCTATTCCTGCTCATGTTAGGCATACCAATCCAGGAAGTGCCATAGTCAATGTATTAGTTTGGTTGGTTAATACATAGCCAATGTATTTAGTACCTGAACAAAGGCAGTTTGTGCTTCTGAAGCCACCTTGCCTTTGAGCAATGAGTCTCATATTTTAGGAAACATGCAACATTTTTAGAATACGTTGCCTACTTCTGAAAACTACACATCCAAGGACTTCCATTTTGTCTAGATTTATTCTATGTTTATTGCCCCAATTCAACAGTGTATTTTATATATCGATCCAGCAGCTACAGATCATATTTAATTCTGATGACAATGAGCAATAGAACTCCTATTGTCAGTATGTAACAATGTTGTCCCAATGTTGCATCCAACTAATGTCGCTAGTGATTTCTTATAATGATGAAACATAAGGAGGACACAAATGCTACTATATGAAATTCTAGAATGTAATTTTCAATCTAATAGGATATAATGACTGATAAAATTCAAACCTGCCAAGCTTTGAAGCCCAAATATAGAACTAATCTTTAGAATTTCATCACCAAAAATAAAGTGTCCTAATATTTTCCTAATTGATTCATTAGAACAATTACCTCATTTTATATACTACTAATATGTTAACTAATAATGACTTTTCAAGGATACTCCATTATATTCAACTTTATCCTAGGTGTCTATTTTGTTTTTCAGCAATATGAAAGTCCTTGTTAAGCAGTACATTTTAGATTATTTCCTTTCCTGCCCAAAGATACTGTCATAAACCCTGGTATTTTTAAAAAGTATATATTATATTTAAAATCTCTGATATATTTATTCTAAGCTTGTATACAGAATTAGAAAACACTCATTCAGTACATAACATGGTAATAATGTAAGTAAATATTAAAATAATTTTAATAGTATAGAATTATACATGGTATCTTTTAACATTTTGGCACACAGGGCTGTAAACCAAAATATATTTTGTTTATGTTGTTAACAGCAGAAGTTATATAACAACTTAATACTATAGGCTCTGGGACAAGAAATATTTGTATTTGTTGATATTTACAAATTCCTTAAGATGTATTATTTATCAGCTATACATTGCAGTTATATTTCAGTCTTTTTTATTTTTCCTTTACAGAGACCTCAGTATGAATAATATCTCTAAACTGCCCTTGAACTCTCTGCATAAATTCCGCTTCCTCGAAGAGCTGTATGTACCACTGTATCCTTGACTGGCATAGATGAAAATTAAATATATTTCTGGGATTTTCTCTTCTACTTACTTTGAATATCAGTTAACATGACATGAAAAAGCTGTGAGTTTTGACACATACGGGAACATTTAGTTAAAACGCACTTACCCCTCCCTCCTATCCATGCTGGGTAAAATGTTACCATGAGGCTGCAACTTTTTAAAGTGAAGACAGAGCTCCACAAATTAATTTTGTTAACGGTTGTTTAAAAAAACTTAGTTTTTATTTGGATGTACTTAAGCAGCAGGATATTAAAAGTTTGAATGCTGGCTCATGTTTATTAAAATGGCAAGTAAAGTTATAATCAAAACCAAAACCCACTGACTATCAAGGACACTTGCATTCATATTTCAGACTACTAAGTCATCTTGTAATCACTTTTAATTACTGTTTCCTTACTCTTGAACTTTCAGCATCCCTCAAGGCTAACTATTCATCATAGCACCCCATGTAGCTTAGGTTTCTCATCCAGTGATTTGCTCACTTAAATTGAAAAAAATGCTCCAAAACCAAGTTAATCAAACACAGCATCACAAGTGGAATGATGGAAAACATTCAACAAACATAAAATTTGGTTGTAGTAATCAAACATGAAATTAGGAATTTGAAAATGAGGTATCACAAGTATTCAGTAAACAGAGCCAAATTTCTCATCTCTCTTACAAAATTTACTCTACCCTTGGATAGTCACCAATTACTTCTGTAAGATTCAGTATGCATAGAAGGATCTTCATAGCCCATAAAGATGCTGTCCCTATTAGGTGACAGCTGGTCAATATGCCAAACTTCCATATGAAGATCCAGTGTGTATTGCTCAAATACAGAGATTGAGTTTGTTTCATACATCATTTTAAGGTGATCAGTCATATACCAGATTTGAAATCCCATAGTAAGAAGATTGGGGTATTCTTATTACATGATCAATATCCGGATGTTTTGAAGGCAGTAGCAAATTTTATTTATAGCCTTAGTTAATAGAAATTGTTTGATGTCTTCAATGAGTTGTTTATTTTACAAAGTTTCTTCCCTAAATGTGTGTGTGTGTGTGTGTGTGTGTGTTGCTAGATATGTATGTGTTAAGAGTATTTTAATTTTTGTGACTTGGTCTTGGGCTATAAATAAAAAATATATAAATATATAAATAACCTGAGCTCATATTTCTTCATAATGTTAGCTATCTATAGCCTGTGATCCCTAATTACTGATGAGTCACAAAAAAACCATCTATAATTTAAAAATATAATTCTGTTTACAAGAAAAAATGTATCATATTCTCATTTCCCTTTTAAAATGCCAAAATTAATTTTTATTCACTTAAGAGTAGAGTGCTATTGGAATTAGCGTCCCTTGTTTTAGGTGCTTTGTTTTGTATTTTCCTCCAAATGGAGGCTTGAGCAGCTGGTATTAGATAGGCACCCAATTCTATTATAATAAAATTTTTACCTTTAAAACACATCAACACTTTCACTGTCTTCTATGAACACTTAGGAACATCCCTGTGTAGAATCTAGCCATTTGCTGCAACCTTAGGGAGCTCAACCCAGTGTATTCTATTATCCTGCAGAGTCTCGCCAGTCACTCTCCTACAACTGCATATGAACACCATGTACTGTAGAACTTGCAGGCATGATTGTTTCTACAATTCTGACAAAGAGAGCCAGCAATGTTATTGGAGCTAGTCATGGCACTGTTGAGAGAAACGTATCTGATTTCTTTTCTAAGGCTGAAAAATCACCATCTCAAACAAAAGCAGAATGGGCAAACCTTCAAGCAGTTTTTTGTGTACTGCTATTATTCAATAACTAAAACAGGTGCTATTAGTAGAATAATGCAAAGATAAATTCACTTGAGGAGAGATTTGTTCTTTCTTTCCTTCCCTGTTCCAAAAGAATTATTTGGCAGCTGGTTTCAGATAACAACCATTGTGCAGAGTACGTGACAAATGTTCCTTAAAATGTAATCAATATAACTAAGTTTCATGCCATAAAAAAAGTGGGATGAAGAACTTGTGTGCTTTTTAACATTTCTTTGACCATCACTGAGAAAAAACTTTATAACATTATTATACAACATTTGGTAGGAAAGTACCAGGTTAAGTAAAATAGACATTTACAATTTCCGAATAAAGAAAAATGCTGGTTTATAAAAACTGAAAATTTAAAAAATAAATATTACTCTTTTTATTTAATTGTGATTTCATATACTGCCACTTTTAAAATGGATAAAATGTGTCACTGTGGAAGAAAGGCTGGTTCCAACTGGCTTGCCATATTCGCTATATTGCATTTAAAGGTATCTTAGTCTGTAATGATAACATATAGTATAAGATTGTAATTGCAAGTGCTGTCCCATATCTGTAACCATGATATTCTACTGTTTGGTGGGAGTGTCGGAGAAGAAAAAAGACCCTGCCCTAAACCATGCGGACGGCTTCCAGGAATTCAACATTAAAATATATCTGGGATTGATCCAGGCTGTTTGGAAGTTTTACAGATTTATCTTTGTAAGCCCTATTTGGTGCACAGAACAGCAGCCCAGAATAAAAGAGCAAAGCTGAAAATGAGAAGTAGTCTCCCTTCTTTCTGACAAAGATTAATGGGGATGAAAAGTTCCAGGCTGCTGTAGTGTTTTCAGTGATTGCTTTAAAATGAATGGGTTGCTTGATCTTAATAGCCTGGACAGGTAAGAATTCCCACCAACAGAAGAATGGATTACCACAAACTCCAGCAGTGCAAAAGAAAAAGAAAGGCAAGCTTTCTTTTGATACAGTGCAGAGATAGTGGAGAAGAAAGGAGCTCAGCTTTTAAGATTAGTTAATGTCATTTGATCAAACAGGTGCCAGTTCAATTTTGAGCTTGGAAAAAGTGACCATGAATTAAAAGCAATTATTCTCATTTCAACATGATTCAATTAATATGCAGCAATTTATAAAAAAATAATATGGTAAGTCATCAGGCTAGAAAGTAGGAGCTTATGAATCCCACTTTAGGCGTGAAAGCCAGCTGGGACAGTCACTCTCTCACTGGTTGTATGTTGTGGGGAAAATAGTAGGAGAAATGAGTATTAAATATATTTCCCGCCTTGAATTATCTATAAAAATAATGAAGGTGAGAAATAAATAAAATGCACGATAAATGGGATTCTTTGTCAAGTGGAAAGATGATAAATTATAGAACTAAATTAAAAAAAACAACAATAAATTTTCCAGCAATATTCTCTTTATTGAAAATTCTAAAACTGATCACAATGAAAACAGATTCCTGGATGACATGGTATTAATGCAGATACCAGCTTTTGATGATCTATTCTAAAAATACTGTATAGTTCTCTCTGTAGTGATGAATTGTTTTATATTCTGTTTACAAAGCATGTATATAGTACAAAATATTTAGTTATATTTTAAAGTGCACTTATATTTATCTGTAAGACATGTCTGTCCCAAGCAGGAGGTAATACATTGTAAATATAAGTCAGACTTGATAATGCAAATAAAGGCACTATATCATTGTTTAAAACATTAAAAAGTTAATGAAATTTTATTCAAGAAAATGTAACAGATTCTGAACACCTACTATATAATAAATAATAATGAACTCAACAAGTAAATAGAACTATATTGTAAATAATCCATTAAAAGATGTGTATGGGTACAGAAATGAAAACATGGATGTTCAGCATAATGTATGCCTTTTTTAAGGAACTGATTGAACTTCAAACTTTTATATTTGGAATCTTATAAATTTAAAATAGAACAGAATAAAATGAAAACACTATCAAAGTGAAACCAGATCAATACATAATTAAAATGATTTTATTCCAGTGTTGGGCAAAGACAGAGGAGTTCTATATGCCTCTTTAACATGTAAACATAATGGGAAATTTTTGAGCCAACCATTCTTATTAGCCTATCTTATCTCACAGAGTTGTTGGGATCAGATGAAGGGAGATCTCATGTAATTTGTCTTGACCTCTGAAACAAAAAATGGATATAAATCTAATAAAGAAAAATTATATTTGTACAATACATTTACTGAATAATCAATAGAGAAATTTAAAGGTATAGTACAATGTGATTTGGTTTTGCATGATTCATTGTTTTCTAAAGAACTGCTTATGGCTTTTTGGATTGTGAGAACCCATCTAGTTAATCAACAAAGCATATTTGAAGCTAATTGTGGCTTCATGGAACTTGTAAGCCCAATCATGGTTGGCCATTATGTTTCTCATAATACTTGAAAAGTATATGAATACATATTATTTGACAGCTAACAGTATACAAAATTAACTAATAAATGCTGGGATCCTGTCCCATCGCTCCTGATAATATGGCTTTTAAGTGAATGCATCTCAAAATTCTTCAGGCTAGAGATTCTTGCCATTATTCTTATAACATCTATGGCAATCTATGGATTGTAAAATCACAGTCAACTATTCAAGGGCTAAGGCATCAAGTTTATTCCAAGAAATTTGAAAACATTCTAGCATAAATTCCAGTGCATCCAAAATGTTGTTGCTGTTGTTTAAGATTCTTATGGGTACATAAAGTTCTGAAGAGTAGACATGAAGAATATAAAGGCTTTCTCATTTTGATAGATAAGCCAATGAGATAACTTGATTAATGTTACATCAATTGAAGATAATAGGCCAGGCCAACAGGGCAGGCTGTAAACCAGACACACTTCTATTTTCTAGCAAAGGAAACAACTTGGGAATTAAGCAGGAAAAGCTGTAAGAGGAATGGCAATCCAAATCCAAAACTATGTTGTTTATATAAAAAAGACAATGTAAGAATGATTGTGAAGTTTTAAAAAGAGATTATTTTTAATTTTATCTCTTTCTGCCTGTTAGAAAGGAAGTGTTTATATATTGATTGGAGCTCATTTGCTTATGTAAATTCAAAGCTAATGAAGTTTCTACTTCAGAAAAAGTGCTTCCTCTGACTATGTTTGTGTCTTGTGGAAGAACTATAAAGTTATCATAATAATATACAACTAGTGGATCATCCACAGTCGACAATGTTGAATTATTTGCTACTGAAGCAGAACAGATTGAACAATTACACATGTAACATAAACTAGATTTATTGAGGCAAACTACATTTGCCCAGCTGCTTGTAAATGGACTGTAGAGTTACAGGATGTTTTGCACAGAACATTAATTATGACAAAACAGAGCTCTTAAACAACTACTTCTGGCTCTCTGGTGGTTCCAACACTGCTGTCTTAAACATTTTAACATCCAAATTAATTCCACATGAAATGAAATCTGTTTATCTTTTATCTTTTAACCCTGTAGGCGTCTGGCAGGAAATAGCTTGACATATATCCCCAAAGGAGCATTTGCTGGACTCTTTAGACTTAAAGTATTGTAAGTAAATTATAGTATTGTTTTATACGTTTTAGGCTATGCATTAAAATCTGGGGATTTATGTTAATTAAAGCACACTGTATTTAAAGCTAAAATATTGCTTTGATAAGGTCTTTATAATAAAAGATGTCCTTACTTTCTTAAAGAATTTTCCAAAATCAATTTACTCATGACATTAGCATCTTTGAACAATATCAGAGGAAATCTGATTTTATATAAATGGTTGCTTCTTTAACTTTTAACAAAGGATATGTTTTATTTCCAAAATAACATTCTATTGATAATTCTGCTGATGAAAATATTAATTTTTATTTCCAGTTTCATTTTTAATAGGGAAAATAGAAAATGATCACATTCATTACTATAACATAGTAACTAGACTGTAGATAATAACTTTTTTGTCTTTATAGATACACTCAGTCTAGAAAAAATATTGTTATTTTTGCTTGAAGCTATAGAATTTTTTTTTACTTTCCTAGGATTGTCATAATTTAATTTATGACCCTAAATTAACACTATATATATAGTGTTAATCTGCTTGCACTGGCACAAAGCCGAAAGCACCAGCCTGAGGATGGCGAGTGGGACCTCGCTGAAACGTCGCCAAGATACTCTTAATCTTACACGGGAAAAGACCCGAACACACCTAGACCTACATACCTGTACCCGTGAAAATCTATGAAAACAAATACATACATACATACATACATACATACATACATACATATATATATGTGGATCTTTGGTTATTCTGGTTTTCTCCCGCGTAAGATTGGAAGTATCTAGGCAACGTTTCGATGAAGTCTCATTCATCATCTTCAGGCTTGTGTCTTCAGCTCTGTGCTTCTCAGAGTGATGTGAGCTTGCAGCTGCTTCTTCTTTTTAACTGCTAGTGGGGGTGTGACTTGATTGGGTGGGGGCTTGGCTGTGTTCTGATTGGTTGGGGGGTTGGCCATGTTCTGATTGGCTGGAGGTGTGTTCTGTTCAGATGGGGGCTTGGTTGTGCTCAGGTTAGTCTTAGTTGCTGGGGGATTTGAGCTGGTGAGCTGTGATCTTGCTGTTTGGCTTCGAGTTCGTGGTCGAAAATACCCGAACAAAGCTTAATGCCATATATATATATATATATATATGTGTGTGTGTGTGTGTGTGTGTGTGTGTGTGTGTGTGTGTGTGTATATAAAGCTGGAATTTAATTTAATAACATTTGAGAAACATTGTTGTATCATATAAAATACTAAAAAACTAATCTATAATGAAATAAAATAATTAATAGAAAAAGAAATAAAAACATTTTATAGAAAAAGTAAACTTTTATAACTTACATTGCTGTAAGTGATGGATTGCCCATAAATGCCTGTTCAGGTATTGACCTTATGTTATTATTATGAAATCCTCTAGATAGAAAATAACAGAAATAGAGTACATGCACACAGTACATAGAAAAAAAAAATTCTTTAGAGTTACCCAAAGACAGTTATTCTAAATAAATTAGCTTCTATAGAAAGGTACCAACTATCACAATATAGGATATTTTTAGTTCTCACTAAGATCCTCCAAACACTATAGGGATAAAGTAAAATCTCCTTTGAATCAAATTTGGTTCCTGGTGAGTTCATGGATACACTTATATACCTTTTTTGGGAAATTGAATTGATTTACAAATACATCTTCCTAAATGGTTTTTATTTTCATTTTACTTTCAATATACTCTGGTACATTTGAAACTCTGGTATTCCAAGATGTATTTCATCCAAATTCTAAACAGGCCCAACCCTGCTTAGCTTCCCAGCCGAGTCAGAGGCTACCATCTGATAAAATCAATAAATGAATGCTTAGATTTAAGTAATGTTTAGCAACAGTGTCATTTTTTCAATTCTTTCATATTTTTAATAATCTGTGCAAATTAATTTACTTATGACATTATTACTTCTCCCCCAATAACCACAACCAAACCAAACAATAACGCTTCCAAGTAAATGAAGTATATTATTTGCTTGCATAATAATCTAGTACGAGAACAAAACACTAAAGTTTTAACAACAATAATAATGATCGCATGGGAAATATTTGTTTTTCCATTGAGGTACAAATGAAGTCACTCAAGTTGAAACTAAAATATTGCATGGTTTGCTAAACTTGTTTCATTGTTTCGGCTGCTATTATTAGTGACTATATAATGGCTGTTTTTTGGAAATTGATTGCATAAGGAACCACAACAAATATAACTGTAGGAAAACAAAGTGAAAATGAAAAATGAAGTGGAAGGCTGTTGGCACTTGCATATATATTTTTAAATGTCTATTATTATCAGTTTCCTATTAACTTCCTATTGACTTACACAATATTAATAAAGATCAAGTTTTACCCAAGATGTTGTTTTTTCACTTAGACAAATTTACCATCTTTTTTCCTTTCTAATCTCACAAACATGCATTTTTCTCTTTTATACTCCCTCAGTATGTATGTGTGTGGAAGTGTATAGCTATTTAAACTATTTCCCACTTAACAGATTGTGTGAATGAAAAAAACATGGACAATGTTATTTCAACAATCTCAAACTCAGGTCCTTCCACAGCAGAGACTTTGTAAGCATGCCAGTAACACAATTAGACTAATGGAAATACTATGTTTACTCTTTCCATGGGTGCTTTGAAACAGCATAGCAATCCAGGGCTGGAAGAGACCTCAGAAGTCATCTAGTCCAACCCACTGTCTCTAGCAGAAGACATCTGGGTTATTTGGTGCCTCACCAAGTCACATGATCACCAAGCCACGCCCACCCAGTTACATGACCACCAAGCCATGCCCATCCAGTCACATGCCCACCAAGCCACGCCCACCAAGCCACATGACAGAATCAGTTGTTAAAAAGGGAAGAAAAGGTAGGTGAATTAATTTTGGCCATCCCAGTTTCGGATATTAGAAAACAGATTCAGCTGGCAAAAATAATTTATCTTTTAAACTACAAACTGTAATAGAGAAACAAATATGCTTAATAATGTAAATTTCTATAGAAATGATGTTTTTACTGTTTAATCTACTTATATTATTTTAATGCACTTATATCAAGACTTAAATATTTAATAATAATCTAACATTTGTAAGTATATTGCATTATAATTCTAAAATTATACTAGCACAGTATCAAATACTCCACTATTACAGACAGCCACAGCAACATGTTTGAATATGCTGCTTTTTTATAATTTATTCCTGCATTTTCATTTTGGACAACTAGAATTACCAAGTTGAAAAAAAAACCAATGTCTACAAAATGAAATGTATATTGTGAAAAATAGGCAGTGATTTTTGAACTGCAATGAGAAATATGTCAGGACTTAAATGAATCAAAATGAACACTGGAAACTGAGGAGCTGAAGACCAAAATTCTGTACTCACAGTTCTTTCAGGTTTCTGAGGACATTGACAGAAGTGGGAAATTCATTCAGATTGTTGTAATTTAAATCTCTGAATTGGGAAAAAAAATCCACCTCACATTAGACACTACTAATTTTTATACTTAAAAGGAAAAGACCTTACCTGTTTTGTGTTGCACTTTTAGATTTATACATTTATAGAACTTTATTTATTTAATAAGGTTCTATAAATGTATAAATCTAAAAGTGCAACACAAGTGTAACATCTTGTACCCAATGACTCTGGATGGCTTACAATATAAAAACATTAATATCATCTATAATAAAAACACAGCAGATAAAATTATGGACACATTATCTGGCAAAGAGGGGAGCTGAACACCTGGGGTGGGGAGAGGGGTTAAACTTTAATTAATCAACCACCTCCAGTATGAAGCTTTCCTATTGGGTCCCCAAGCCATCTGGAAAAGTCAGGTCTTAAGGTTCCTGCAGAATGTTAGGAGGGTGGGAGCCAGTTTCACCTCATGGGATAAGATGTTCCAAAGGGCAGGAGCCACGGAAGAGTTCTTCTCCTTGAATCCACCAGCTGAAAGGAATTTTCAGGATTCACAATGTGCCCCCTCTGCCATTGTGGGTGGGATGGGCCAGTCCCATTGGGGTGAGATGCTTCCTCAAGTAGACTGGATCCATGCCCATTAATGAATTTTTATAAATATAATAGATATTTACATTTACTTAATATTTTATTTGTTATATTCTGCTTGATTAATCTGCTCTCTTTAACTTTAGATCTTTAGAACTTTAGATTTTTTACTAAGTTGATCAGACTAAGTTATACTCTATCATCTTTACAGTTCATGTCATTTACTAAATTAATCTTACAGGAAAAATAAGAAAATTGTGGGGTTTTTTGGGAAAATCACACCATGATAGTAGACACTGCTAGCATTTGCAATTTTAACTACATAAGTAAAACCTGTTTTTGCAAATAGAAACAAAACTATAGTTTAATTTGGGCATATTTTTTCAAAGATTGATCAAGAATTTAATTAGTCACAGTGAGATATCAATTATTCTCTTAGTGTATATCCATTAGCCGTTTCAAATGCCCATTGTCTACAAAATAAAAAAAGTTAATATATAGCACTGCAATCCTATAAATGAAAGGAAAATAAAATAAGGAAAACTGGCTTTCATTTAAGTGTGGACTGGATTACATCCTAAAAATTTAACTATAGAGTCAACATCAATAACGTCTTTAAATCTGCATTTAGGCTTTAAAAAAAGATCTGCAGAATGTCAGTGGAAACATTGGAAAAAGCATATAAAAGCTGAACTCACAAAGTCTCTAGGCTATGGAGGCCATTGAAGCATTTCTTTCCCAAGAAGTTGATTCTATTGTTATGAAGATGCCTGAAGCAGACCATTCAGAATATGAGGGAAAAAAAATATGTATAGTAAACTAAAGCAAAGGAAAACATTTTAATAGTTACTCCTGCTCTCCCATCGTTTGTGAAAGTAATTTTTATGAACATTTGAATAGTATAGAATATATTTTACCAATTGTGCCTCTATTTGCATTTTCATTTGCACTGCTTAATCTGCTTAAATGAACAATTTTTATTTTTTAGTCAAGTTTTTTATTTTATATTATTTATACATATCAATGTATGAACTGGGTATCATACATTTAGTACAAATAAACATAATGTTGTAACTCATGGTTATTACATTTCATTTTAATTGTTGCATGTTATTTAAACATATCTAATATTATCACCATTCAATTTCTAAACCTCCCTCTTGTTATTGCATAGATCTTGTTATATTAAAATATGTGTATTGTTGTTCCCTTCTTATTTCTATTCTTTCTTATTTTTCCCATTGATTCATTTAAGCATACATAACATTTATTTTTGCCATTATTTATTATCCCTTATCTTGCATTTGATATTTTAAAAATTATTTATTTTTCCACCCTGCTTTCAATATTCCAAATATCCAACACTACTAATCGATCCAAATATTAACAGTATTCAATCGATTCCAGATTTATATCTCCCACTCCCCACAATTTCTAATCCTTAAAAGTTTATAATTCACAGTATATTTTAACACACTGTTAATATTAATAATACCATTAAATTCCCTAATCCTAAATTTCCACCTTCTACACTTAACTTATTTTTAAATGGAGTAAATTCTATTTGCTATTAGTATATACTGTATGTTACTATTTTCCCTGTTTATATTTTCTACTTTTCTGTTTTTGCTAATGTGTTTTATCGCTATCCATCATCTCTTGGTCTCTTTGGAGTTCCATCATCTGTTAGTTTCTCAATCATCTTTTTCTCTCTCTCTCTCTTGGAAACTTATTGTTCTTTTGGAAAAATTTATTGTTTTTTATGATGTTTTTGTGCCCACTAAATATTCCTTTCAACCTGCCCTTTATCTCTTTTTGCTGCATCTTTTGAACACCCATCCATAAATCATTCTTTTTTGGGGGGGGCGGAGAGATTTTTTTTTTTTCTCTCTGGACTTTTCCTTTTTTGAGGAGGTTTTCCCCCTCTATCCGGTTATAAACAATTTCTATTTTTGTGACTTCTCTTCTCATATTGTTCATGTTCTTTTCTTACTTCAACATATGATTAGGTGCTTTCTTGCTCTTTACAAAATTAATTTAGGTGCTCTTGAGTCAGGACCAAATCCCATTCTGTGTACAAATGCTTACATGACTTATCTACAGTAAAATTTCAGTAATCTCTATCTTCCTCTCTATGCAATTTATCTAATGTCCTTTAATATATTTTTTAAGTTTGTCAATGTAAAATATTTTCTAGCACATCATCTGCTCATACTAGATGCCTAAAATATGTGAGTTTTTATTTGCTGATCACCACTTCAAGAAAATACCATGTTTTCCCAAAAATAAGACCCAGTCATATATATATATATATTTTGCCATCTAAAATGGCACCAGGTCTTATTTTCAGGGGGCGTCTTCCATTGACTCACCTCGCAGTGACAGTACCAACAGCCCTGCCCAGCTGAAGCCTGCTGCTGGCCTACTTCTGCAACTGCTTGTTGCTGCTTGTGTGCGTTGCCCCAGCCTCTGTTTTGCTGTCAGAGGCCTTCAGGAAAGGCCTCTGCAGCCAATAACAGAGCTCCAGATTGATGCACGCATCATTTTAACAAGATATTTACTTTCAAATGCAACTAATCTCAGGATTAAACTGGCAATAAAGTTTATTTATAAACACTTTATTCATACTCTACATATGGCCAAAATAAAATATACAAAAATAAACACCAGTATTTTCAGCTTCAGATTCTTTTCCCTCATATTAACATTCAATTAGCTTCATTAACCAGGTTTTGGACTTAAATATTTGCTGCTCTACTAAAAAAAAACCAGGTGTATATTAAACATGTACTTTCCTGAAGACAGCAGTTGAAGCTCTTAAAAATTAATTAAATTTTATGTCTAAAATCAAATACAAACTTACAGCACTACTAAATTGGAGAGATTTCCAAAAGCATAATCTGGAATGTAGCAGATTTTGTTGAGTGCAAGTGTCATTGCCTGAAGTGCTGGCAAACTTCTCAAAGCTTGCACTGGAATTTCAGTCAAAGAGTTATCATCTAGCCACAGGTATCTAAGTGACACCAAGCCGCTGAAACAATTGGAAGGTATGAAGCTAATATGGTTAGCATCAAGCCGTCTGAAAAAAAAACATAAATATAAAATATCATTAAAAAGTGTTTCATAAATAAATGGACTTAGACAAAAGTAGTATTTTCTGCATTTTTAAAAAACACCTTAATTATAATCAGTTCCACTGCTGAATCTGTATAATTTTTAGTTACATAGTCTAATTTTCATTTCTATTTCTGAAACTTCTTTTTAATTCTGTGGTCATTCTCACTGTATTTTATAGATTTGGTATGTTCATTGTATTAGGAGGTGGTTTGTTTACCCATGATTCATTTATAAACTATACCTTGTTGAGCTCATATAATGTTCTAATCCATTAATCAAACCACGAAGACTGGCATGACATGATGAACCACAAACATATTTTTATTTAATATGGTGCATAAACCTAGCCAATTGGGGATAGCATGGCTTTTTTATATATGTTACAGGCATTGATGTGTGCGTCCTAATGCATCATCCAATATGAAACCATCTATGGATATGAATTATGCTGAAATTAATAACATATTGTTTCATGTTGAAGTTAATATCATGCTGCTTCAGAATTCTACAAGATTTAAAATAAACATATAGCACAAACCACAAAGGCTTGAGTGTATATATTCTTTTGCACAATACATTAAAGGAGCTATAACTTCTCAGTACTGTAATAAACCAAGCAGATGACATAAACACTTTAGCAGAACAGAAACTTAGAATTTGGCATGATGTGTGCAGGTCCCATGGTTTTTTTCATTCAAATTTTAGTCTTTTGCTACCATTATTTACAAAATAATCAATACCTGGGAAGATCCTGGAAAAGATAATAAAAAAACAGATCTGCGAACAACTGGAAGCAAAGAAAATTATAACTAGTAGCCAGCACAGGTTTGTTAAACACAGATCTTGCCAAACCTATCTTATTTCATTCTTTGATAAAGTCACTAAATTAGTAGACCAGTGAAATACTGTGGACATAGTATACTTAGATTTCAGTATGGCATTTGACAAAGTAGACCACAATCTACTTCTTGGTAAGTTAGAAAAATGTGGAATAGACAACATCAGCACCAAATGGATTTGTAACTAGATGACAAACCATACTCAACAAGTAGTTCTTAATGGTACTACATCCACATGAAGAGAAGTAAGCATTGGGATACCACAAGGCTCCATCTTAGGTCCAGTACTCCTCAATATCTTTATAAATTACTTAGATGAAAGAATAGAAGAAGAACTCATCAAATTTACAGATGATATTAAACTGGCAGAAATAGCCAAACAACCCAGAAGACAAAATCAGGATCCAAAAAGATATTGACAAACTTAAACAATGGGCCCTATCCAACAAAATGAATGTTAATGTGGAGAAAAGCAAAACTTTACATTTAGGCAGGAAAAATCAAAGGTATAAATACAGATTAGGCGAGGCCTGGCTCAAAAACAGTAACTGTGAGAGGGACCTTGGAGTCCTAGTGGATGATCATTTGAATATGAGCCGGCAATGTGCAGTAGCCACCAAAAAAGCTAATACAACCCTGGGTTGTATAAACAGAGGCACAGAATCAAAATCACATGAAGTATTAATCAGGGGTGGGATGCAAATATTTTTACCACTGGTTCTGTGGGCGTGGCTAGGTGGGTATGGCCATGTGACTAGGTGGGCATGGCTATTTTTGTGTGTGCAGCATCCCCCCGCACACTCCATTTTTTTTGGCCTCTTGGGCCTCAGGGAAGCCTCTGAAAGTTCAGGGCTTCCTTACAAAAGTCAAAACCACAAATCCATCCCCCCTTAGCCATCACTACATCACATGGTCCAATCACCATCTGTCCTAAAGTAAGATTCCCATTTCATTATACCATGATGAACCAAACAAAAGAATTTTTATTTTGTCTAACTAGATATACTCAAATGAATTCGTCCCTCCCACTTTCACAGACCCAACTGTGGCAGCTTGGAGCATCGAATCTCCATACAGCTTCCAAAGCTGACAGGCGTCCCCCCTTAAACAAATCACATCCTAGATGATACAATAAATGAAACACAACCAGGGGTTAATGCAATGCTCTTAACCCCCTCTCCCCTCTCCAAGGGGATCCTTTGGCTTGTCAGGGAATTTGTCATGGAATTGGTTAACCAATCTATCTGCATGCATATCCAAACTTTTCACCCAAGTAGCTTCTGACAAAGGGTAGCCTTTCCATAGCACCAAATATTGTAATCGTCCTCGGTATAATCTAGAATCAAGGATCTTCTTTATTTCAAAATGTGTCTCACTCTGTACAATTAGAGGTTTAGGGGGAGCTGCTGGTATCAGCTTTAGATTTGACCTACAGTAGGCTTCAACAAACTACAATGAAAGACTGGGTGTATTTTCCCCAATAGCCGAGGGAGACTTAATTGGAGTGTCACTGGATTGATTATCTTAGATATAGGGAATGGACCCAGGAATTTAGGGCCCAACTTCCTACTGGGAAGTTTCAACTTGAGATATTTAATTGACAAAAACACTGTGATGACCCGTAGTCTCTCAAAATAACCCAAAACCCAAAACATACATTCAAGTCCGGTAATGCCTTCAACTTAACTTCACTGTTTTATTAGGCACAGTTTAAAGTCACAAAAGTAAATAATGAGGCAAAAAGAAAACCAAAACAAACTGCATTGACGAGAGTTCCGAAGCAAACCAAGACAATTAATCATACATTCCAGGAAGATTACCGAGGAGAGTCCATGGGAAGAACGCCAGCAAAGTAACTTTCAAAGTAAACACTAAACTTTGACTCCAGCAATTCTGACTACGCAGTTACAAACTTATATACATAGCTCCCAGCTGCAAGCCACGAGGAGGATCATAGTAATCTCCTCCTGAGTAGACCTCGCTTTTCCCTGATCCTCTCCTCCCTGTGTGACCTAGGATGGATAGGGGATGGGCCTGGATCCTCCTCTGATTGCTCAGCTGGCCTCTGCCCTTCCCCAGCCTCCTTCACCACCTCTGGAGCCACACTCTCACTCCCTGTTGGCTGTTCCTCCTTTTCCTCAGTCTCCACCAGGGGCATGACAAACACTTTGTTCCCTACTTTAAACTGTGTTTTTTATATTCCTCAGCAACTTTAGTTCAAGCTTTTTTCGTATCCTCCCAACCTTTCTTTAATGAGTCCATCCATTCCGTTAAAGACATGGATGTTGGGGGTTCCCTAGGTAACTCCAGCATAAGGATGGAACGCTGAGGAAAGCCCTTGGAATGACCCATTGGACTTCAAAAACTCCCTCCAGAACTTAGCAGTAAACTGTACACCTCAGTCTGAGATTATTCTATGAGGAACTCTGTGGAGCCTATAGATATGCTTCACAAACAATTTTGCAACTTTTTTAGCCAAAGGTAGTCCGTTACATGCTGTAAAGTGGGCTTGCTTAGAAAATAAGTCGATAACAGTCCAAATCACGGTACTTCCTTCACTCTCCAGTAACTCTATGATAAAGTCCATTGTGATTTCTTTCCATGGCTTCATTAGTACAGCTACTTGTTGAAGGAGGCCAAGGGGTTTTCCAGTTCTGTGTTTCATCGTGGCACAAATTGAGCAGCTTTTCACATAGTCTTCGACATCAGTTTTCATTTTGGCCACCAGAACTGTCTCCTGACTAAATATAGGGTTTTAAAGAACCCAATGTGTCCCCACAACTGTGAGTCATGGCTATGTTTCAAGACCATCAGTCTTAGAGTATTGGGTACATAAATTTTGGTTCCTTTCCAAGACAATAATTATCAAATCAGTTTGATGTTCAACAAACCATGGGTTGGTGAAAAGTGCTGCTTTCAACTGGGTTGTCAGTTTGTCTTCTGGGTGTCTGGATCTGTGGTTGGCTTGACCTCGGGTGGTTACTTGTCCTGCGGGTTGGGCTTCTGATATCATAGTTTGCACTAGCTCTTCCCGACAATTGTTAATTTGGGGTTTTCTTGACAGGGCATCTGCCAATGTGTTTTTCCCTCCTGGGATATACTGTATTTCATGTTAAAGTTGAATCTCTTGAAGTATTGAGCCCAGCGGACTTGTTTAGGTGATAGCTTTCAAGGTTTCCCTAGAGCCTTGATGTTCTTATAATCAGTCCACACCTCAAAAGGTTCCTTCACTCCTTCAAGGAAATACCTCCAAGAGAGTAAAGCCCATCGCATGGCAAACACCTCTTTTTCCCAAACCACCCACCTACGCTCTGTGTCTGTCAACTTTTTGGACACATAAGCGCAAGCATCAGCTGGTCTTGAGAGTTCTTTTGGAGGAGAATTGCCACGACAGCCACGTCACTAGCATCAGCTTGGACTATAAAAGGTTTGGTCGGATCCGGGTACTGGAGGATGGGCTCAACAACAATTAGGCATTTTAAAGTTTCAAAAGACTTCTGACAGTCCATTATCCAAGCAAGGGGTTGATTGGGTTTTGGTTTGGTCGGGGAAGGCCCAGTTTTCAGTAACTCTGTTAAGGGGGGGGTGACCTCAGCAAATGAAGGAATAAATTGTCTAGAAATTTGCAAAACCCCAAAAGCTTTGAAGTTATTTACATGTTTTGGGGGGTTGCCAGTCTAGCACTGTTTTCACTTTTCCAGGGTCCATCTCAATCCCCTGGTTAGACACTCAGTAGCCCAGGTAATCCAATCACTCTTTATGGAATTCACATTTTGACAGCTTTACATATAACTTGGCAGCTAAAAGTTTTTTCAGTACTTGTCTGACTAATTTGACATGTTCTTCTATGGTTTCACTCATATAAGAATGTCATCCCAGTAAACAAGAACCCCTTTGTAGAGGTGTGGATGTAACACTTCATTGATGAGTTGCATAAATACTGTGGGGGAGCCCTGGAGTCCGAAAGGCATGACTCGGAATTGGAAACTACCCAGAGGGTAGTTGAACATAGTTGAAGACGCCCCTAAAACCTACACATAATCTTAAGCTGTCATCTTTTTTTTCTTTAAACAGTACTCGGGCTGCCAACCTAGATTTGGCAGGTTCAATGAAACCTCTGTCC